GGCAGGACTGTGTGAATGCTATGACGGGTTTGTGGATCTGAGCCAATGCACGCGGACGGGCTGTGCCACGGACGAGGGGTGCTCGGGACATGGAAGCTGTGGCAGCGACGGGCAGTGCGTGTGCGAGGCCGGATACATGGGCGAGGCGTGCGAGCTGAGCGTGTGTGGGAACGAGCGGGCGATTGTGCCGGGCTTGTATGCGACGTACTATGAGGGATATGCGTTTGATGAGCGGCGGATAGGGCTGGCGGTGCCGGAGGTGGCGTTTGACCTGGGCAACGGCGGGCCGAGTCCGGACGTGTCTGTGGACGACTTTAGCGCGACGTTTGTGGGGTTTGTGCGGCCAACGACGACGGGCTGGTATCGGTTTCGGCTGCGGTGTACCAATGGGGCCTGCGGCATGTATCTGAACCAGAGCGCTTATGCGGACTCTGGCAACGGGCTTTTGCTTGTGGGCGGCGAGTCGGTGCGCGTGAAGCTGGAGTGGCAGCATACGAGCTACGGCACGACGGCGGTGTTTGAGTGGCAGGGTCCGTATGAGAGCGCTGCGGTGGCGCAGGGCGCGGACGAGTCGCTGTTTGTGGGAGTACCGTCGCATGCGCTGTTGCATGAGGTTGTGTGTACGGGAGGCTGCGGGGGGCGCGGGTGCTGCGTGGCACCGGAGACGTGTGCATGTGAGCCCGGGTTTGGCGGGCCGGGTTGTGAAGTGGACCTCGATACGTGTGGGCTAGATGCTCCGGGTGGCTCTTTGGTGCCCGGGGGCCTCCGAGCGCGCTATTACGATGCTCTGCTGGAAGACGCGCTGGTAACGGACGGCTCGGTGGCATATGGCGACGCCGGTGTTGTGGCCAGAGTGAGCTTTGACTGGGGCTATGATGCACCGGTGAGCAACGTGTCTGGGGACTACTGGACCGGCGTATACGTGGGGCGACTGGTGTCTGAGCAAACGGGCTGGCATCGGCTGCGCGTGGACGGATCTGGGACGGTTGGGCGCCTGTATGTGGGCGGTGTTCGGCTGTTCTCGTGGAGTGCGGCCTGGACCCAAGCCGTGTATCTGGTGGGTGGACGATCGTACGAGGTGCGGCTCGATGTCCAGGACGAGACGTTTACGGCAGGAGTGACACTGTTCTGGGAGGGCCCGAACTTTATCGAGCACGTCATTCCATCCTCGGCGCTGCTCCACTACGAGAGCGGCTTTGCATGTGGATGTGGGGCCAGTGGCTGCAATGGCGGTGACCGAGGCGTGTGTAACGGTGGACTGTGTGTGTGCTCGGGTGCCTACGTTGGTGCCTCGTGTGAGCACTTTCGGTGCCGATCGGATGAGTGCCGTTTTACAGATGCGTGCCACGACCCAGCCTACGGTAGCCAGGACGCCGAGTGCAACGGACAGGGCCGCTGTGTGGCAGGACTGTGTGAATGCTATGACGGGTTTGTGGATCTGAGCCAATGCACGCGGACGGGCTGTGCCACGGACGAGGGGTGCTCGGGACATGGAAGCTGTGGCAGCGACGGGCAGTGCGTGTGCGAGGCCGGATACATGGGCGAGGCGTGCGAGCTGAGCGTGTGTGGGAACGAGCGGGCGATTGTGCCGGGCTTGTATGCGACGTACTATGAGGGATATGCGTTTGATGAGCGGCGGATAGGGCTGGCGGTGCCGGAGGTGGCGTTTGATCTGGGCAACGGCGGGCCGAGTCCGGACGTGTCTGTGGACGACTTTAGCGCGACGTTTGTGGGGTTTGTGCGGCCAACGACGACGGGCTGGTATCGGTTTCGGCTGCGGTGTACCAATGGGGCCTGCGGCATGTATCTGAACCAGAGCGCTTATGCGGACTCTGGCAACGGGCTTTTGCTTGTGGGCGGCGAGTCGGTGCGCGTGAAGCTGGAGTGGCAGCATACGAGCTACGGCACGACGGCGGTGTTTGAGTGGCAGGGTCCGTATGAGAGCGCTGCGGTGGCGCAGGGCGCGGACGAGTCGCTGTTTGTGGGCGTACCGTCGCATGCGCTGTTGCATGAGGTTGTGTGTACGGGGGGCTGCGGGGGGCGCGGGTGTTGCGTGGCACCGGAGACGTGTGCATGCGAGCCCGGTTATACTGGGCCTCAATGTGAGTTAGCCGAAGCGTCCTGTTCTGGGTCGACATTTGATCAAACCTTGAGCCCCGGCCTTCAGTTTCGCGCATTTGATGGCATCTTGGAAGATGCTGTCACCTCTGCTTATCCTGCTGAGGTGGGTCGTGCAGCCACCATCAATTTTGATTACGGCTATGATAGTCCAGGGCCCTCCGTTCCTGCCGACTACTTT